GGCTGTACCCAGCCCTGGTGGTGTCCGAGGCTGTACCCAGCTCCGGCGGTGACAGAGGCTGTACCCAGCCCTGGTGGTGTCCGAGGCTGTACCCAGCTCCGGCGGCGACAGAGGCTGTACAGAGGCAGACGTCGCTGCGTGCCTCGACCGTCCTACCGATCCCACGCCGCCGTGTTGCGTGGCGCCCCGCGACGCGCCGTCCGCCTCCGCGGTTGGACCGCACCGTGACTGATGGCGCTCCGATGCCCGGCCCACCACGCCTTGTCCGCACTTGCTCCACGTCGGCTTCTGGGTGAACCCGTGCCGACGCGAGCACTCCAGACTCGGCCGTCGCCGCCGGGCAGCCGGCTGATGGGTGCGGCAGACCGCGGGGATGACGTGGGCACGACGCCGTGACGCTGTGACGGCTGGTGTGGTCCTCGTGACAGCTGGCTAGTGCTCTGTGACAGTTGGCTAGTGCCTTGTGACAGCTGATGGGTTCGTTGTAACTATTGATGACTGAATATGACGGTTAACTGAGTGACCGACGGACGAAGCCAGACAGGGTATCCGTGGCCGCTGACTGTACGCCGCGGCATTGGACGGGTGCCCTGTGGCAGCTCATGGGCTCGTCCGACAGCTAATGACCACCACGCGGCCGCTGATGAGTACCGTAGCCGATGACGGGTGCCGTGACAGCTCATGGACGCCTTGACAGCTGATAACTGTCCGTGACAGCTGATCCGCCCGCATCAGCTGGCGGGATCCCCACAGCCGCTGACACCGTTGTCCCATGTCCTGGCCAGTTTGCGTCGGCCCAACGGCTGACGATGCGCGGTCCTGTCAGGCGGGTCTGTCTCTCCCCGTGCGACGCCGCGTGCCTCTTATGTGACGTCACAGGTCCCAGTGCGAGCCGTCGATGTCAGTACCGTCCTATGCAGGCCCCGCTATCCCAGTGAGCGGGCGTCGATGGCGACCGTCGCCGGCGCGCCGCTCTGGCCGGCTGGCGGAGACGGGGCTAGACGCGGGCCCGGTGCTCTGGCCGGCTGGCGGGGGCGGGGCTAGACGCGGGTCCGGTGCTCTGATCGGCTGGCGGGAGCGCAGCTGGACGCGTGCCCGGTGCTCTGGCCGGCTGGCGGGAGCGCGGCTGGACGCGGGCCCGGTGCTCTGGCCGGCTGGCGGGGGCGGGGCCGGGCTCGGGCTCGGTGCTCTGGCCGGCTGGCGGGGGCGGGGCTGGGCTCGGGCTCGGTGCTCTGATCGGCTGGCGGGAGCGCGGCTGGACGCGGGCCCGGTGCTCTGGCCGGCCGGGGGGGGGGGGGGGGGGGCGGGGCTGGACGCGGGCTCGGTGCTCCGCTCAGCTGGCGGGGACGGGGCTGCACGGGCCCGGTCTGCGGCGGTGGAGCCGGCGCGCTGCTTCGTTCGGCTGGTGGGAGCGGGGCTGGGCGCGGCCTGCGGTGGCGGCTGGGGCTGACACACCGCCGTCAGGCTCGGGCCCAGCTGGGTTCGCACGCCTGATGTAGTCTTCCATGTCACAGTCACAGGTCTTGGCCAGTCAATCAATGGTGCTCGTGCGCTGTATCGCAGAGCACCTCGTCGCGGCATGTTTGGAGGTCAGACGCAACAACTCCGGCGAGAACGTAAGCGCGAAGCGGCTCGCCCTGTGGCGTTTGGCGGGGCCTGTGAGCTATGCAAGCTGTTACCATGTGTTTTAAAGGATGCCGTGCGCCTTGTGAAATGCTGTGCGTACCCCCGCCTGTGAGATGTCTCTCAGTCAAATACATTGCACCGTTGTGAGACACGCCTATTTGAGAACGAAAGGCGTCTTCTGTAGACTTAGCATGTGTGTGCCCGCCGGGCTGGCCGACACTCAACGGCTCACAGCGTTCTTGTATCACATAGGTGACCACGGTCTTTCAATGATCCCAATATTTGTATTCCATATCCGCTGATACCTCTGCCTCGCCTCCTTTAAGCCGACCGGTTACAACGACGAGAGGAAACGGGAGAGCATTAAGGGAAAGTGCGGCGTGCATGCAATAAGTCATGTTCCTTTTATTTTCCCGTCAAAACTGGTCTGTTGTCTGTAATACGACACAAATTTTCGTCAACACCCCCCTCCCCCCCGCTGCGTACATCTGTCTGCGCGTACCTATTGCCCATATGGAAGAAACATTCCACCAAATGCACACTACATGCAGTGACTTGTTCTCATGACGTCATAAATATCAGCGTCACGTGTGTGGGCCACCCTGCCAGTCTCTGTGGCGGCCGACGCAGCTGGTGACCAGTCCGGACAGCAGCGTGCTGTCGGCGCCCTGCCCCCCGTCGCCCGAGAACGCAGAGTCGGCCTCAGATGCAAGGCACAGTCCCGCGGCATGGGCCGGCCGTCTGATGAGGGGACCACAGGCTGGCCCATGGCCTCCCTGTGTGTCAGCTGCTGCCGTACTAAGGAGAACCAAAGCTTTGTGTGTCGCCTGGCTGTCCGGAGGGTTCAGTCGCGACCTGTCGCCAATGTCGCGCTGACATCTGTTACTGTCAGCTGCAGGCATTAGTGTCTGCTCGCGCGGCGTGCTGGCACCGAAAACGGCGCTCGCGCGTGGCCAGGTAGCTGTCCCCGGGGACAAGATCACCAGTGACGTCACAGCCCGCGGATCATGTTCCTTCGCGTCGGTGGTGTGACATTCTAATCTACCTTAAACTACTCCGGTTACCGGGTGTGCTAGTGTATTCACGCACAACAATGAGTAACAACCTGACATGACAATGCAACCATAGATGACAGACACGGAGTGTGGCTTGCGTAGCAGCGTGATGTCCGTAACAGCGTAACGTTCGTGACTCGTCGGCTCCGCGTAACTGTAACAAGCAACAAACTGCTGGACAGTCAATAGCTTTGGCGTGGTGCATAATGACAGACTTACGAGAACCGACGTGGAAACACCGACGCGTCACCGTTGCTGGTTCAGGTGGATGAGGTACGCCTTGATGAAACAATAACCTACCGACGAAATACCACGTGCACGCTGTAGGACAAAAAAAAAAACGACCGAGTACATCCAGACGGCTATCATTTGTCCCACGAAGCAATGGCAAGTACAGTCTACGTTCGTCTATCGCTTCGCTTCTTACGTGAAGTATTCTGCCAAAAGGTTCCAGGCGCGTCTCCTTCGCAGAACAAGCGACCTGAAATGGTCATGTCACGCTCCTGACCCTGCCTGACACGATCCAGCGCGAGGTCGCGTCTGACCCGTCCACCTCACCGACGGGGTCGCGAGCACGGCCAGTCCCGGGCCTGTCCCTCCCCGGCCCCCACTTCACAGAGGCACACTTGGCACAGCTTCGGCGTTGATGACACTAGGGCCATCCGGGTCAACGAGGCTGCTCGTCTCCTCCGGTCCCCTTCTATTGTTCATTTCATCTTGCGCGCATTTCTCGTCTTACATGCATCCCGCTTCCCACCGCTAGCCCCTTTTCTCTCTGACCTTACTTCCACTTTAGCTTCTGCACATTTCTACGCTCTCACATCTTCCCCACCCAAGCTTCCGTTCTCCCCTCCCCAATCAATCGCCCAGTTTCTACGCTCTCCCGCTCGAGCTTCGTGCTCCGGCTAGCGGGGCAGCGCCGGCGGCATCTGGTCGGCGCGGCCATCCCGACGCGGCGCGCTGCCCGGCGAGTACGGCCGAGACGAGTAGCGGCGCAGCGGCGGATACGGGGGCCCGAACGGCGGCGGTCCGCGGTTCCGGTTCCGGTGGGTGGTCACCAGAGCCTCGGCAGGCACGATCGGACGACGGGAGGGCACCGTGGGCGGGTGTCTCAAGCCCGGCGCTCGGCGAGACGAGGGCGGCGACGTGGGAGCGGCTGTCACCACTCGCGCGCCAGACAAGCTCGCCTTGAGCGCCTCGATCCTGTCGACATCTGTTATCGTCTCCGGCACAGTAGAGTTCGCTTCCCCATCGCTAGACATCCCTGGCACCGGGGTCACACTAGCGCCATCTGTGCGCGGCGGCGCGAAGGTGGAGCTCGGTGGCACGTCGGGTGTCGGGCTCGTCGCTGGCGGCCGGGTGATGTTAAACAGCACGTACGGCGTTGGCAGGCACATGCAGTCGCAGTGCGAGGGGAACAGAAACTTATCCATGTAGATGAGATCGCAGTCGTTGGCGTCGCGCTCGTAGACGGGCATGGTGCGGACGGTGTAGCGCTGGGTGCATCGGCAGCCGGCCGCGCATCTGCCCTGCTCGAACTTCTCCCTGCGAGCGGGGGATGACCCGTCAGAAAGGACCCGACATCGTACTCCCATGAGTGCAAGAACAGAAATGCACAAGCTCACAGCCGCAGGCATAAAAGAACAGGGGCTAGGGTATCTTTCTCCCACGTTATATGGTTTGCCATGTACCCAAAGGTGCACACAACTGATGACGGCAAATAAAAATCGATTAAAATACTATGACTATCTCACTTGCCAATGAATCTCTACTGTCCCTGAACAAATCATAATGACATCTCGGAAAGGAAGCGACCTGTACTGATGTGGGTCGCACTTCCTTCAAACAGCTCTGTTCAGCAAACAGACTAACGATGTCGCAGCATCAGTCTACTCACACGCAGTGCTCCATGTGGATGTAGGTCTCGAAGGGCGGCATGTTGATGAGCATCTTCCAGATGTGCTGCGTGTTCATGGCGTAGAACGGCGAGCGGATCTCGACGGAGGCGCGGCAGGCCGACCTTCGAGACAGCAGACACAGGTCAGAGGTCGATCAGAGGTCATCAACAACATGGGGCATGGGGACCATTTCAGTGCTATTTACGTACCAGGCAACGCAACAGCACAAAAATACGCCACGTGTGGCGCGCAAGTGGGTACTGTGCGCGAACGAGAGAGATTGGTACGCCCGCGATGATGGTCGTAGCTAATTCAACACTTTATGACCCGGAATCGTCACATCTGTAATCAACTACTCATCAGACAGGGGTTATCAGACGTGTTTAGGGCACGTGATTTTGGTGCTCACGTCGTGTATGGATCAGGTGTCGTTTCCGCCGGCGGGCTGGCCGGGCGTAGTCGTGGTCGTCGTCCGCGCCGTCGTGGTCGCGGCGGCCGGTCGCGTAACCACCGCCTCCTGCTCCGGCCGGTAGATGACGTCCGTGTACACGGTCTCCATCACGCCCTCCAGGAGCAGGTCGACCGTGGTCTCACCGGCGACCGGCGTCTCGGTGGCGACGCCGGCCTGACTGTGCGCCCCCGGCGCCGGCCCGGCCGTGGTCCGGGCCGGTTCCATGGGTGTCGCCAGGGCCGGCGGTCGCGCCACCAGCGGGTCGGCGTGCGGTGGCGACGGCAGGGGAAGCCAGTCAGAGGCAGCCGGCGCCGTCCACTGCGCCGCCGCCGGCTCTGCCGGCTCCGCGGCGGGCGGGGCCACGGTGGAGCGAGCTGGCGGCAGGTAGTACTGCACCTCCGGCGGCCGGTCCTCGCGCGTCCAGTCCTCCTGCTCCTCCTGCCGCCAGTCCTCCGCCGACGGCTCCTCGCGCGTCCAGTCCTCCTGCTCCTCCTGCCGCCAGTCCTCCGCCGACGGCTCCTCGCGCGGCCAGTCCTCCAGCTCGGCGGCGAGTGCGTCGGCGAGGATCTCCTCGCCGGCGGTGATCTCGGCCAGCACGTCCTCGCCGGTGCGCACCTCTGCCCGGATCTGGGAAGGCCCCGGAGGCGAGCGCCGCTCGGCTTCAGAGAAGACCGAGGTGGACGCCGTGGCCGTGACCGGCGCTGGGGCGTCAACCGCGGGCTGGGCGGCGACAGGAGGGGAGGGGGAGGGCGTGGGCGCCGCTGCGGGCGGCGGCAGGGTCGTGGTAGGCTCAGGGGGCGCTGTCGGTCCGGTGGTGTGAGCCGCGGCGGGGCTGTCCGTCGAGTTCTCTGGCATCGCGTCGAGTGTTTCCAGGCGTGGCTGTTCTGTGACGGCGACTGACTCCTGAGCAGGCGCACTGACCTTCGGTGCGCCGCCGTCATGGAACAGGGGCGCTTCGCCAACTGGTTGGTGCTCTTGTGGTGCAGCTTCACCAGATGCTCCTTGAGCTGAAGCGGCGCTTGTCTCGACTGAGGCAGGCCCGTCATCAGGTGGTGCTTCCGTGGCTGGTTGCCTCCAGCCCAGGGCATTGTCAAGGGCTTCTCCCAGCTTGATTATGTCTTCCAGAACGCCTTTGGTCACCACTATTCCGGAGGGCTCCGTGAAGTAGGAAAACAAAATCGCAAGCTCTTCTTCTTCGGTGAAGCCGCCCTTGTAATCCACGTTCTCTAAGAACGTCTCGCTCTCGTCATCTCTGTCACCCTCTTGTGCCGCCCCGGGCGAGCCAAAGTTTGCCGTGTCACCGACAGCTGGCGCGGCTGTCTCGAGCCTCTCTGTTGCATCAGGCCTATCGTCCGAAAATTCCCAATTCCTTGATCGAGAGGCCAGTCTGGCAACTCGCGTTGGTGACCTGTGACCGCTGACGTCATACACATCGCTAGTCGACCGTGTTCTGCGGCCCGGGGCCCGGCTCTTGCCCGGCCGGTACTTGGCCAACAGCCGCTTCATGCCGCTAGCATCGGGGAGGGCAGCCCGCTTGCTGGCCGCCGCGCTGGATCTGCGCAGGTACTCCTGGATCTCCTGCCTGCAGAAGGTCTGGGTCAATGCCGCGGGTCAAGGGCAGCGAATAGAGCGACCTCTGGCTCGTCAACCCGACAGATGTTTTGCGCAGTTACTTGTCAGAAGTTCACCTAGATCTGAGGTTTGTTGATCTTGAGGCTGTCAGATGACGGCGGTGTTCTGAAATACTTGCGGTTAAAGGTATAACATATAAAGATTTCCAACCGCAAAAGGTTAGACCCAAAGTCGGTAAGGCAATCCAAACCTTCGAAACATCAAATTGATAAATACTTCGTGGAGCGTTTAGGCGAAAGCATACCGGAACGCACAACTTCTTGTCACAAACATTCTTTATCAGAGCGAAGGACACTGCGCACCATCCATCCCTCCCTGCAGGGCCCCGTGTAGCTCGCTCCGACGGCGTCGCACCAGGACGCCTCTCACCAGGAGTGGTCGCGGCCCGGCTCGCCGCACCGGGACGCCTCTCACCAGGGGAGGGGGGGGGGGGGGGGTCGCGGCCCGGCTCGTCGCACCGGGACACCTCTCACCAGCGGTGGTCGCGGCCCGGCTCGTCGCACCAGGACACCTCTCACCAGCGGTAGTCGCGGCCCGGCTCGTCGCACCAGGACGCCTCTCACCAGGGGTAGTCGCGGCTCAGCTCGTCGCACCGGGACACCTCTCACCAGGGGTAGTCGCGGCTCAGCTCGTCACACCAGGACGCCTCTCACCAGCGGTGGTCGCGGCTCAGCTCGTCGCACCAGGACACCTCTCACCAGGGGTAGTCGCGGCCCGGCTCGTCGCACCAGGTCGGGCTGGGCATGTTCGGCGAGCCCTGGCAGGACAGCGGCGGCTGCACGCGGCGCATCGACTTGCCGAAGCGGCTCGTGCCGGCTGAACAATTGAGCCCGGTGCCGACCGCCAGCCTCCCTGCCTGCCGAGCAGAGGGAAAAGAGGAAGTCAGACAGCCGGCTGACATGGGGCGCACGTGCACTTGGGACATTGCAACGGGGTGCGCGCATTGTGCAACATTGTTTGCAATTTTGCAATATTTTTCTAATTGCTTGTATGCGGCCTTCGAACAATGCGAAAAGAATGGAGATGGTCCTTGAACTCTTCGACGCTTTGCTTTTGCTGTAATTTGCTCTTGCAACATTCTGCAACTTTTACAACCATTCAGAAGCTCTTTCTTAACGCTCTGGTGCTTTGTGGGCACGCTGAATGTGGCTTTAGAGCGCTGCGCTGCGTTGTTCGGCCGACAAGACTCTTGCAGGGTTTTGCATTTTTGGCAACAATTTTGGCAGTTGTTTTTTACGTTTATATTTTGCGAGGCCTGTGAGGACGTGGGGTCTTTTCTTCATGCCCCTTTTCTTTCAATGCTAGCAGAGTCCTCATATGTTCAAGTCACCTGGTCGTCTTGAAAACGCATTTGGTTATCTCCCGCGCCCCGTGCTCCCTCCCTCCAGAACGGTATACAGTTATAAGGCTGGCCAGTTCCTGGTGAGACGCATAGGTACTGCACTGCCCTGGGTCGAGGCTGAGGCTGAGATCAGGACCTAATGGTCTCGAGAGGAAGCCGTGGAGTGGTTCTTCTCCCGCTATACCCGCCTGACACGACTTTCTACAGGTTTCTACCGCCTTCCCGGGCGTCTCGCCTGCTCGCCTCAGTCTGTCTTCGGTTTCAATGTTAGTTGACTTTAGGCGCAGTTCTGACCCGTCCACCCCTCTTCTTACGCTGGGTTGCCATTCCTCCCCCTATCCTTACAGACTAAGCTCTTCCATTCTGTTACATATATTCCCTTCCATTGTCACGATCATTTACGATGCAGTTATCTTTCCACATCTGTTCATACCTACTCAACACTGGCCCCACAATTTTGCTTTTCTAGTCCCCTCCAGTGGCACACGGGGTTGGAGTGGTTACCACTGTCCAATGCGCAACATTTTTGGGAACCTTGAGCACACATCTGCAATGCTAATTCCTTTTGATCTCAACCCATCAGGTTCTGTCACGCGAGACTTTCGGGTACATTCAGGTGAGGGTAAACACGTATAACTAACCGTCCTTTCCGCCAATACAGGAGCCTCTCACCCTACGTGTCGCCCACTAAGGATGAAAGCCTTATGTAGCGTCCTTGCCTCTAAGGCGGGCCTGCCCTTCTCACATGCATTTCCTGGCTGAGGTTTTATGCCGTCTTCGCCGAGCACGACATGTTTCGTAAACGTCTTTACCAGAGACATATGACAGCTACACCGGGTCACACCTGCCACAAACTCCAGTGGACACCGTCCGTGTTTTATGAGAGCCATCAAGACTGTCTACGCCAGCTTAAGCTGGCAAAGAGCTGGACAACACACGGCTCACGGTCGGAAGAGCACGGCTGTCGCACGAGTACACGGTACACAGGAGCACGCAGATGGCAGGGGTACAGGACGACAGAAAACCACGTGGTTGGAGTTAAGAACACTGCCTCAAGTGTACACGGCGGTACACGAGGCGGATGTTTGACTTAAAAGTACACAGATGAGGTAGGAGTACCAGACTGAAGTAGGACCAACCGACTGACAGCGGAGTACACGGCTGGTGGAACAGCACGAGGTTGATGGAGGAGTACACTGATGACAGCGGAGTACACGGCTGATAGAACAGCACGGGATTGATAGAGGAGTACACTGATGGCAGCGGAGTGCACGGCTGATGAACAGCGCGAGGTTGATGGAGGAGTACACCGATGACAGCGGAGTACACGGCTGATAGAACAGCACGAGGTTGATGGAGGAGTACACTGATGATAGTGGAGTACACGGCTGATAGAGCAGCACGGGATTGATAGAGGAGTACACTGATCGCAGCGGAGTGCACGGCTGATGAACAGCACGAGGTTGATGGAGGAGTACACTGATGACAGCAGAGTACACGGCTGATAGAACAGCACGAGGCTGATAGAGAAGTACACTGATGGCAGCGGAGTATACGGATGATGAACAGCACGAGGTTGATAGAGGAGTACACTGATGGCAGCGGAGTATACCGACGCTGGAAGAACAAACGGTTGACATACGAGCACGCGCGTTGCCGAAGAATACTTGGAAAACATAGCTGATTTGGGGTACATTTATGACACAGAAGTGCACGGTTGACGGCTGGGTACATGGCTGACAGAAGGGTACTGGGTTGACAGCGGAGGACGCAGCTTACGAAGGAGTACACGCATGGGAAAGCGTGCAGCGGCGTATAGGATACATGTCTGACATAAATGTAAATAGTTCACGCAGGAGTACACCAGTGACTGAGAGGCACACGGCGGATAGAGGAGAGTACCACGATCATGGGCGTCACATGATACGCTCTCGGGGGACCCGAGGGGCCCCCAGTCTGACTTAACCACCATGATCCTCAGAGCTCCCTCTTATTGTGGGCAAAAAGGAATGCTGGACGAATGAAATGCATACAATTTCCTTCAACTTCTGGAACACCAGATACCCACCTTAAGACATAACTATAGGTTTCGTCCTAATGTTACATCACAGAACGTCCTGTCTGGAGTGTACATTTTTTTGCTGTAATTCGGACTTCCTTATGTGCTAGGTCAGCCTGCAGTTATCGGCAGATTTTTCACACAATAACCCACGGTTTGACTAAAAAAATCGCTGCCAGATCTGGCAGCTTTTAAGCACACGGTGGCTGGTGGCATTCACCTGTTTGCGAGGGCTGCACGACAAGCCGTGCGCAGCGAACCGTGCAGACATGACGGCAATAACCGGGAGTTTCACACATAATCATTTGCTTGTCTTACAGATCTCTCATTTTTCTCGAGTGTGATGTTTTGGTAACAGGGCAGCATGCAGGATTTTGCCAGTGGAGAGGTGCTCAAATGAAAACCAACTTTGGCGTGCCGGGAGCATGTTATTACATTGTGTTTTAATGTAAATGCCCAAAATCCTGGAAAAGTCGGGTTTTGGGGATAATCGAGGTCAACCTTACCGGCTGAGCTCCCTAACCGATTTGAAAAGTGACACCCCTGACCACGGAAGAAGAGAACGCGATCGACGGACGAGTGCATGGCTGACGTGGCGGCAAAGGGCTCTCAGCCAGGTGAACACGGGACCGGCGTGCGAATAGGTGACTGATGGGAGTGATGGGACTGATGGGAGTGATTCAGAGTCCCTTCTGACACAGGACCCTTGTGTAGGACCTAGCTCCTAGGTGTCCCTAGCTGGTCAAGAAATGCACTGCTTTACAGAGGGTTAAGATAAGGAGCGTTAAGAAAATGCTAGAAATCCCAAACTACGTTGCAAATTTTGTGCGTGCTAATGTTAGTAAATTTTAGAAGGATAAACAATGGGCAAAAAAGTGCACAGTTAAAAGAGCAATACAGGGTTGACAACAGAGTGTATGGCTAACAGAGGACTGTACGGCTGACCGAGGAATACACGGTCGACAGAGCCATGCAAAGTTGACGAGGAAGTCGCTCTGCCCCCATGGCTAACAGAGGACGGCACAGATAACCGAGGAGTACACGGTCGACAGAGTAATACAAAGTTTACGAGGAAGTCGCTCTGCCCCCATGGCTAACAGAGAGCTGCACGGCTGACCGAGGAGTACACGGTCGACAGACATCCGACATCAGCTGGGACCACAGCTCCGTGTCACGCAGCCGGACCCCCATCCAGCGGCTGGCGCCGGCACCCAGAGGGAGCAGAGCGAGCGGGAGCACGAGACACGGTGGATCGTGCCCCCGAACGCCTGCCGGCAGAGAGCGAGGGACGGCCCGCAGCCAGAGGGGGCAGAGCGAGCATGAACACGGGACGCGGTGGAACGTGCCCCCGAACGCCTGCCGGCAGAGAGCGAGTGGCGGCCGGCGAGAGCACGGGGGGGGGGGGGAGGGGGCGTATTGAGCCGCGATGCCAACCGGTGGCCACCAACGGCCCCGCAAGGACGTGGCCCACATCTGCTGGCATCACGTGACCCGCCGTATTGGCACGTTGCCAGGTCGGGCCCGTGGATCAGGCCAATCTCCTCGTGGCACGGAATCGCCCAGATGCAGTCGTCACGTTCCCATAGTTTCACTCGTGCATTTTCCGCAGCGTCACGCCAGCGGTCCAAACACAATATCGCACGGCTAGTTCGGCCGCGATTAGGGCGGACATTCGCTTTTTAGTGGACATTTTCGTAGGCGTAACCACGCCTTAAATGTTAACGGAGCATATTTCTGTTTGGGATCATTTGATCGAGTCAAAACATAAGGGCCCGAGCATTCGAATCTGCGGCCACACGTTACTGAGGCACGGACCCCGCTCCCGCCCCAGTGGTAACTAGCCCTATGCCTGCAGCCCAGCGAACCCGCAACTAAGATGTTGGTCCCTCGTGTTCACGCTCGCTGTGCCATGAGCACGATAGGCTCCGTTTTGAGTGCTCTGCCTATCACGGCAAGGCCAGCAGGACGATGTATTGACACTTGGATAGCGAGTGCCGGCTCTCTGCAGAGGTATCATGGAAACGTTCGGCCGCATCAAGTCTAATTTATATATTGGAAGGTTACACACGGAATACGTGAGTGCACCATGGAGTTGAATAACAGCGAAGCGGTGTCTGTTGTGGCATCCCATCCCTCTCCGGCGTAAGAGGTCTCCGATGCCTGCCAACAGCGTGATTTTCACCCGTCGGCGGAGTTGGTTTCGGCACTGCCCCACGTGCGGACGCGATGCGCCTGCTCCGGCGAAAGCTCGACCGAGCGTCCTTGACTCGTGAAACACCTGAGCTTTATCACAGGTGAGAGTGGCCGCCTCCGTGTGGGTCGAGTGTCCGGTTCGAGGGGCTATCGCCCACCATCGCCCTGTCGGCCGCCAACTCTGCCCTGCGAGCCTTGACCAGACCATGAAAAGCAGCCAAAGGCTGTCCTGGCGGCCGTTAAGGAACCGTTGTGACTTCTG